ATGAGGCCGGCAACAGCGCCACCGCCTTGTTTGGTGCCTTCGTTCTCTTTCGAGGTGGTCGCGGGCGCGGACTCTTCGGTCTCGGTGGCGGCGGTCGGCTTAGAAGTCGTCACTTCGGAATCAACGGACGATGTAGTTGAGTTGTCGTTCTCGTGGAAGATGCCAGGGATGACGGTGGGAGTGGCGGTCTTGGAGTAAGCGGAGGAAGCAGAGCTGGAGGGTTTGGCGCTCGAGCTCTTGGACGTCGGTGCAGCGGAAGAGGACGGTGACGGGGTTGGCGTCGGGGTCGGCGTGGGAGTGGGAGTGGGAGTAGGCGTAGGCGTCGGGGACGGCGTAGGCTTGGCCACCTTGATTTCAACCTTGTCCTCCTCCTTCTTTTCCTCCTTCTCCTCGGAGTCGCTGCCACCGGAACCGTCCAGAGGGAAGACAACAATGCGACCCTTCTTCCCCTTGGGAACAGTGACGACGCAGTACTTGGAGTTGCCGGCGCCAGTGCCAGCAAGATTGCTGGTCACATCTCCAATAGCGCTAGAAGAGGGATCGATGGCGCAAGGAGTGCCGTTGCAGCCACCGTCGGGGCACTCGATCTTGACGCCATAGGTTGGCTTCGTGTTCTTGAGCGCCGAACCCTCCCAGATGGGGTTGTAGCCGAGAGTGACGAAAGTCCGCCCTTGGGCATCCTGGTTGGCGCCTGCAACGTAGGCAGCCCAGTTACCGACGGCCTTGGATGAGTCGCCCCAGATGCAGCCCTCATCCGTCACACCTGGCGGGTTGATGTAGTAGCTAGCCGATATTAGTTCTGACGTTTCTGCTCGAGGGCGTAAAAGACTCACTGAGCACTCGTGCTGCACCAGTAGCTGGGGTCGGGAACAGCGAGGGTGATGGACTTGTCAATGACACTGGGAATGAGCATGGCCTCGTTGCCGGGCAGAACAGTCTGGCAGAATGACAAGGTCTTGCCGCACTTGTTATAGACCTCAACCGTTCCAGCGCCATCGACGCAGTAGGGTGAGTTCTTGAAGGGCTTCACGGCCTTGCCGTCAGACCCACAGAAGAGGCCACCATTCTGAGTTGGTCAGCCATTGTACTCGAACGTGACGACATGAGGCATTCTCACCATTGAAGACGGGTACGTGTAGGACGAATCCGGCTCCCATTGCGCCATAACCTTCCCCGGCTTGCAGGCAAACGGGCAGTAGCTTCCTTCAACACAAGCCTGATCGGGACTCATGGCGAAGCCCTTGTTGGAGGCGCCCGGCACATTGACCAGATCGCCATCGCTGGGCAAACTGCAGATGGCCTTGCCGTCGGAAGTCCTCTCCACGAGAGCCCTCTCGGCAAGGATCTCAATCTCCTCGTTAGGGCCGAGGCCATTCTTCAGCTGGTGAAGGTGGCGGTGAGAGCCATCATGCGCTTCGGCGGGCTGAGCAGACAGCAGAGCCAAGGCCGAGCCAACGGCGGCCTGAATAGTAGAGAGCTTCATCTGGGAAGCGGGGTCTCGTCGAGAGTCGTCGCGGTATCGTCCAGAGATGAACAAAAAAGCAAGAGCAAAAGTCTTGGGTGGTCAGCGCGTCGCGCAACGTGGTGAACAGCAGCGGTCGTTGTTTTGGCGTCCGGTTCCAGTGCTATAACATCGAGACAGGGAAATTGAGCATCAACAGCGCGCGCGCGTGATGGATTCGTAACGAATGTGATTCCTTCCAAAGGCGAAGGGTAGAGACAGCGAATGTCGGTGTAAAGAGCGGAACGTCTCCAAACCAGAGACTGGGCAAGGCGTAAGGATGCGGTGCAAGGACAAGAGAGAGAAAGAGGAGAACGAGCGTGGGTGGAGGTGGCAGGATGGGTCGACGATGAAATGAGCGAGAGAGCAACGATCCGGGGGCCGTCCATTCAGCCTGGGGACGTTTGGTCGCTTGGCCGCCTAGTCTACTGGGCCGTGGGCAAAGGTAGAGACGATACAACCAAGGGCGCGCGATCTTTGGCCCCTGTTGGCCAGGCATGCCAGAACGGGGAGCAGAGCCACTGGTTCGACCGGGCCCCTTTGAGGGGCGGGCGCAAGGGTGCTTGCTGGCTGGTCATGGCGACAGTGGGCGGTGGGTGAATGGTGATGCATGGCTGGGCCGGGGGGAGGAGTCAAGCCTCGACATTGAAGCTGGGTTGCTGGAGCCAAGGCCCGAGGAGGAGGAGGAGCCCAGGATTCGAGGCCTTAGGGGAAATGAGATTATGAAAATTGGCGTAGGCTCTCGACCTTGGACATACTCGCCAATCAGACTCGGCCATCATCTCGGCAAAGCTTGACTTGTTCTTCCAAGCAACCAATGAGGGACGCCGCGCGATCGAGCCGTTGCTGCCGCCTGGGGCCAAACGAAATGAATCGCACGGGCCCCAATAGGATCAAGGCACTCCAGACTCCAGTACCTGCATAAGTGTGCATATTCCCGCACATTAGCTATGAAGTCATGCACAAGTTGAGGGACCCGCCCGACGGGCCCGGCATCTGATTGGTCTGACTAGTGGCAATGGCCGAAACCTTTTGCCGCCAGTCGTCCAGTTGGAAAACCAGGAACATCACCAACAAAAAAAAAAAGACAGGGGGAAGAGGGGGAAACACCGACACCGCACCGTTGCCATCCCGCCGTTGACCAGCGAAGTAGGGGCATTGCCGTTTCGGGCGACGGATTAAGATGAGGCTTCAACGCCACTGACCTTTTGAGCGGGAAGTGCACATAAGTGCAGCCATGGACACATTGGTTCGTCGGTAACGCAGAAAAGTGATGAGAGACCGCCGGTCGCAATGTCACACGCGCCTCTTGTCATCCAATCTTAACCTTCAAGCTTAATTCCACGTTGACTGGCATCTGTGAACGGGATGGGATGTGTGCGACAGGTTGCAGTCGCACGCACTCAGTCCTATCAAGCTTCTCGCTCAGGACTCGAGCGGGTTTTTCCTTCTTCCCCCTTCCTTTGCGTCCGCTTCATTGCTGTGCCTCCGCCACCTCCTGTTCCCATGTTGGTGCGACAAACGAGGTGGGAAAGGCTGCATGAATCACACCATTCCTCTCTGTCGCTTTCCCCCGTTAGAAACACCCAACGGGCTCTTGCTGGCCGGTACCAGTCTGAAATGCGGCACCGCGTCTTCTTCAGCACCCAGAACGCCACACAACTCCAGCGGTCTTGCCTACTCCTTCTGGAAGACCGAACTCACGATATCTGGAACGAGCCCCACCGCGCCGAGGCCTAGACAGCGCAGGAAAGTGGGTCGCTTGCCTGTCCCCTCACCTTTTGAGCCAAGAGGGCCAGCTCGAGCCTCGAGGGGATGATCTTTTTGTCGGTCGTTGCACCGCTTCCCACCACATACCGAAACGTGCTTGTCCGTTTTCGAGCCTCGTCAACCTCCTTGTTTGAACAGGCCACCCCAGAAGAGAAGATGGGCATCTCTCCCACTTGCGCGTGCCCTGTCGTCGAGCTCAGTCTCACAGGTTGCGTGGTTTGCAAGGGAGGGAGCGCCCCAAATCCTGGCCGAGGTGGGCTGCTCGCATGAGCCTCATGTCCTGAGTCCTCCACCGTCCTTAACCCACGTGCTCTGTGCTCTCTGGAAAGAGACCGAGCCAACTAACTGTCTGATGGGCGCATTTCTCAACATGTGTCTCCATCCTTCATCGGTGTCTCCTGGGTGGACGAGCCAACGGCAGAGGTCCTGTCAGGCGTCAACAAAAGCGCCAAAGGCGATCTAGCGACTGTGCCCGTGCGATAGATCTGGGGACGGCATCTATCGCCACATCTGTTTAGCACGCTTTCGCCAACCCAGGGAGATTGCGGACATCAGTTGTGCGAAATTGTGCCAGAGTTGGCGTGGCCGTTTTTGCTGACTCGGCCGGCTTCATACATCCGCGATAGTCGGCCTCGCAATCTCCCCGGCTGCTTGGGCCACTATTAGCCACCATTGCATCAGAAAGCTCAAATCTTGGTGCCGTCCTCGCGATGATGAGGACTTGGAGATGAGATCTGTGTGCCAGTCGGGTGTGGCCCTGTGCTGTCCGCAAGAAACCCCGAGAGTCTCGTACCCGACTGACACCTTGTGTTTTCTGCTGATCACTTGCAGTAATCGGAAACAATAAAGTATGCACTCCTAGTCTTCTGACCCTCAAGCGAGAGCTTTGTCCCAGCTACATCACACCACGCCCGCTATATACCTCGCTTGGTTTGATGAGATGGAGCACTCGGTACTCCGCGTAGAACAGCACACGACAAGCTACCCTAGGTCTTATCGGGCTGTTTAAGAGGGAGACTGTACCATTGCGGAAAGCTTGACGGTTGACCCGAGCTAAGTGACCAGCGTCTCAATTGTCGCAATAGAATGGATTGGATGCTCGTCGACGTTGACTCCTTTTCCTTGACCCGCGAGCAGTATGGGTTGGATGGAGTATTGTCGGCTGTTGATGCCGTTGGATTCTCGCCCTCCGACTTATAGAATGTCCAGCATGAAATTGCGCATTGCGTAGATGAGAGCTGTTTTTTCACGGTCTCAGCACCCAGACGTCGCCACTAGTTAGCTTCCGCTCGTGACCCCGACCACGCACCATCCCGAACATGGTATTCAAGCTGTATTCGTGATTGCTCTGTCGAAGTGCCCCAGCCGTTCGAGCTTCGGCCTTCGACAATGAGCATTTGGCAGACTTCAAAACTGGTCAACCTCCGAAATAGCCACTCGCCGACCGTGATGCGCGGGGCAGAACAGACAGAAAATTGGAAACCAAAGACAACAGTCAGAAGTTCGTCTTCAGAGTGAAGCTGTGAGTGAACTGCACCGCAAGAATATAGAACGGCAGCTCTACTTCTCCGTGTGGGAAGATTCGGTCCGAATACCCTGATGGTTTGACCAGTTGGTTAAGCGATGGTCGTTCCCTAGGTGTCAGGCAGTTTAGGTCAATGATACTCGAACCGGTGTCAGGATTCCATCAAGGACTCTGTCCCCTCCACGATTCCAGTCGTATTTGATACCGAATAAGCGTCCAGTGGACGAGGACACCAGCCGACATGAATCGCTCTCAAGGCATAGCCCCGAGTTCGATTCTCGGTTTCGGAGCCACTGCATTGGGTACGATGTATCCGTTGTCCGGGTGCGCCCATTGACTGTCCAAGGTTGCGAGAGGTCGTACGCCAAAAGACAACCGATTCATCGGCCAAGCAGTCTGGGTCAGGAAACCTCTGGCGACCAGGTTGTGGGTAGGCTGCTCATTGGTCTGATCGGGGCGACGGGCCACGCCGTAGGCTTGAGCTCGCAAACCAGACATGCTCAAGGCTGGGCTGTTCGTCTTCCGGTCATCTTATTGCAAGCCATACATAACCCTACTTACATACGACACTGGTCTGTTTCGTTCCTGGTCTACTATATGCTCGCTAGTGAATAGATGCTGAGCAGTGATGAAGGTTGATGAGGATCTGATGATTCCAGGCCTCCTTCAGCAGTAACCTGCGGCCGCTGCAGTCTTTGTCAAGAGTACAGCGTCATGCCCCCTGGTCATGGGGGCGTGTTGTCTTTCTTGGTTCGTAGACAAGACGTCCTGGTTCAGGCAGTTTTGACTATCATGTCAACGTTCATATACGTAGCGCTCGCTGACGCGGTCCATCTACCATATTATCAATTGCGAAACTTACCCACGCTTCATGTCTTCGATGCATGAGACCCAGAAGACGGCACTTCCTCGTTCAAGGAGGGATTTTGGCAGCAATCTCATGAATGCTGCCACAGCCAGATATTGACTGGTTCGTGAAAGTCGTCAAGAACGGCATGTGTGGATTTGATTCTCGACCTCATATATCTGTATGCCTCACCGAGAGGTCGACATAGCTGGGAACCAACTCAACGTTCCGAAACAGGCAAGCCGAGTAGTTGGAGATGACGATCTTGGCTCAAAATCCCGATGTCTCTGCAAGAACTGGCTTGGGGGGTAGGTTACAGCCAACCACCAGAGACACGACTACAACAGCTTCCAATTGGTGCGCACATCAGAGCTCAGTCCTTTGAGACAAAACGACGCCACACCCAGGACGAACGGATCGCAGATAGAACCTCACGGCATTCATACCGATCTCCAGCGTGGAGATAAGAATCGTCCGAGGTTGCGTCGACGAATTGGAGTCTTGAGTGGTCGCTCGGATCTGCATCTCACCTGCATGCAATGTTGTCATGACCCCAACAACCCCACGTTCGAGATCGGCGAGAATGCCGCTCTGCTGTCGTAGCATGAGCATCAAAGCCTTCGGTAGTCCAATTCCCGAAGCTTGAAGCCATGCCGCAGTTTCCCCTCATTTTCCTCCCCCGCCCTCTTCCCCATGGGGTAATGGAACCTTCTTATACAAGAGGGTATCCCCGAGCTGTCCTCGTGGGGAAAGTCCATCAAGGTCGTTCCTCGCTCCTCATCATATCCCATTACCTACCTTGGTACTCCTTGCAAGGGGCACGCCGTCAAGATGGATGCCAACAAGCCAAGCATCGAACAGGACGAGAACGTCATCAAGGGCGACAATGTCAGCCTCAAACCCACGGCCTCGAACCCAACTCCTGTGGAATGGGCGCAGCACTTCACCAGCCAAGACGAGGCATGGCACAAGAACATGGACAAGACGCTCTTGAAGCGCGTAGACCGGCGTCTCATGCCGACCCTCGTAGTCATGGTGAGAAGGCATCAATGCCGTTCTCCGAAGCAGATAGGCTGACCAGAGGGCTTAGTATCTCCTCAACTTCCTCGACCGCTCCAACCTCGCCCAGGCCCGCCAGGGAACACTCGAAAGAGACCTGGGTATGACGGGCACCGACTTCAACCTCGCGACCTCCATCTTCTTCGTCGGCTACCTCCTCATGCAGCTTCCCTCCAACCTGCTCCTGACGCGCGTGAAGCCGTCCTTCTACCTCGCGGCCTCGTGCTGCATGTGGGGCGTCGTGTCGACCTGCAACGCCGCGGCGCACACCTTCACACATCTCATCGTGATCCGCTTCTTCCTAGGCTTCGTCGAGGCGCCCTTCTTCCCGGGCGCCGTGTTCCTCATGAGTTCTTGGTACACGCGCGCCGAGCTGACCCGCCGGATCGCGTATCTATATGCCGGCAATGCGCTGGCGAATATGTTTGGCGGCCTGCTTGGCGCGGGCATCCTTGGTGGCCTGGAGGGAGACCTGGGGATTGCGGGATGGAGATGGCTTTTCATCATCGTGAGTCTTGCCCCTTTGCAAGACACATGTGGCATCCTCGTCACTGACATCGTGAACAGGAGGGCGTAGCCGCCATCGCATTCTCCCTCGTTGCCATGTGGATTCTGCCCGACTACCCCCACACGACGAAGTGGCTGACGGACGAGGAGCGCGCATACGCCGCCTGGCGCCTGATCGAGGACATCCAGGAGGCCGACACATACGGCGAGCAGGGCATCATGGACGGCGTCAAGATGGCGGTGCGCGACTACCGTCTGTACATCTTTGTCCTGATGCAGCACGTCAGTTTGATATCCCAGACGTTTCAGTACTTCTTCCCGACCATCGTCGGCACGCTGGGGTACGGCAAGATCACAACACTTTGGCTCACTGCTCCCGCGTGGGTAGGTTGATCATGAACATCGCGGTGTGTTTTGAATTCGGCTAACTTGATAAATATAGGCCGCGACATTTCTCATCTCACTCTGCGTCACCTGGTCTTCGGCAAAGACCAAAGACCGTTCCCTACACATTGTTTGCCTAACACTCCTTTCGGCCGTTGGTAACGCCATTGCCACCGGTTCGACCAACGTCGGCGCCCGCTACTTTGCCATGTTCCTTATGCCAATGGGTGCCATCTCCGCATGTAAGCTCTCACTTGCTCCTTCTCTTTTTTTTTTTTTTTTTCTTTTTTTTTTTGCGTCGGCCTGCTAACCCGATGGAATCGCAGACCAAATCATCGTGTCCTGGGTAGCAAATTCCTTCCCTCGTCCCCTTGTCAAGCGGTCCGCCTGCATCGCCATCGCCAACATGATTGGCAACACGGCGACCATCTACGGCAGTTACCTGTACCCCAGCAGCACGGGTCCGCAGTACATCCCCGGCGGCAGCGCGAACACGGTCATCTGCGTGGTGGTCGCTGCACTCGCGCTTGTGCTGCGGTACCTGCACAAGTGGGAGAACAAGAAGCTGGAGAGGGCGGAGCAGGATGCGGCGGCCTTGGTGGAAGGTGGCGAGAAGCTTCCCATCGACCTGAAGCAGGAGAAGAGAGCTGCTGGGTTCAGGTATATTTACTAGAGCGGTGGGCCGCGCGGGAAGTGCCGCGGTCGAAGGGTTCAAGGGGCTGAGGGGACGAAGGTGGCAGAAGCTACAGATAATGAAATGTAATGAGATTCCCACGTGGTTTGCGCTCGATAGCCAACATCTTGTGATGGGTCTCGTTCGGATGAAGGCATCCGTCATATCTCACTATTTTTCTGAAGCAGTTACCCTGATCAGGGTCTACAAGTAACCATGGTCAAGAGACGGGCTGTCTGGATGTCTGTGTGACCAAACTCGAGCACTAATGACTATATACAAATACATAGGTAGCTCAAATCTGACCATTCACGTCCTTTCCTTGCTCAGTATCAGGCCGCCATAACCAGTCTTGCTTTTCATCCGAAGTGTGCAGCCCATGGCATACGGTCCTGAGATTTAGACATGACAGATGCCAGATTCAAGCTCAGAGTAAAGTGTGGAAAGGGTGTTGAGCCTGTTATTGGCGCGCCCATCTATAGGACTGCGCAGACACAGTGAACATTGACACCTCTTGTGATGTTATCACTGAAAACACCGGGGAGCGCGATGCTTTTCCCTCCAAAGTGAGTGTTGGGTTATTTTATATTGCCTATGTACAGGGTGATTTTCTAACAGCTGCTTCTAATGCCATCGGCATGCCATGGCAAGCCGATGAGACGGAAGAAAGAGCGAAGGTGAAGAGAAATCAAAACAGAAACGCCTATGCAAGCCTAGCCTTTTCCATGGGCCCAATCCAAACAAAATGCCCGCCGACCAGACAAACGCCGTAGTATGCAGCCCGAACTCCATTTCTAGACCCCCGATCCATTATACTCCTGGTGCCGTGTGTGCTGCCACGCGCATGTCTCTTTACAGGGCGCGCTTCTTGAGGTGGCACTTCTTCAGGCACTCGTCAACGCCGAGGGCGATGCTGGCAGGAATGGCCTTGCGGACGCGCTCAATGTCCTCGCCGGCAATGGTCTGCCCAAAGGTGGCGGCAATCAGGTCGTCGCTGAAGGCGAAGGTGCTGTCGGCGACCTGGCCGGTGCCGAAGTCCTCGGCGGCGAAGCTCGCGATGAAGACGGCGTCCTCGCAGTCCGGGTTGAACTGGCTGTGGATGGAGCCCTGGTAGAAGGGCGTCATCTGGAAGGGGCCCAGCTCGGTGCGGATGACGCGGCGGGTCTTGCCGTCGGAGGCCTCGACGACGCCGTTCTCGGGCGTCATCTCGGTGATGAGGCGGCCCTCGACGACGATCTGGAGCTCGGCGGAGCGCGGGTGCACATGCAGGGTGTTCATGGCGCATGGCCCCATCCGTCCAAGTGCCATGCCGGAGCCGGTGCCGACGAGGGCCGGGAAGGTCTTGCGGTTCGCGGCGACGAGCTCGCCGCCCTTGCCGGGGTTGTTCTGGGGCTGGTTGAAGTCGAAGACGAACTGCTTGTCGTCGGGGAGGAGCTTGAAGCGGTCGGCGGCGCTGTGGGGCGGCGCTGTGGGGCGGTTCCCGCGTCGGAGAGCGGTGCAAGTGGACTCACGTGTCAGAGAGGAAGAGCTGCTGGGTCAGAGACAGCGCGGGAGCAGGAGTCTGCTCGGCGCGGGGGCTGGTGTAGGGAGCGGCGAGGGCCGAAGAGGCAAAGGCCAAGATGGTGGCGGCGGCGGCGGGAGTGAAGTGCATTTTGTCTGATATTTGTTGGATGATGATTGCTCAAAAGGCAAGCAGGTAGGCTGATGCAGATGAAGACCCCGAGAGAGAGAGAGAGAGAGAGACTTTGAGGAGATAAGGGAGAAAAGGACGAAAAGAGATGAGAGACTACAGGAAACCGTAGACTAGGTCTTGTGTGATTGCG